TTGCTGGGGGGCCATGAAATATATGCAAAATTTTAAATGTCAGTAAAAGTAATGTAGGGAGGGTTGAAATGTTGGATATTGTAGGTATCGATAAGCGCAAGATTTCATTTATCGTCCTGCTTGCAAAATTCTTGCGAACGGAACGATGCAAAGTCAGCTAAAAAAACTGCATATTTTTCAAATGGTACTTCTGACTCTTGCTCCAAGTTTCGCTGCTTCTCTCTGGACTTAATTCCAAATTTACGCGGTCGTGTTGGTTCCAAAAAATTAGATAATCTCCAAAGAAGGAAATGTTACATAGGTGAAATGGCTCTGATGTTGGTCTATGGATCTAAGATTGGGCCCACTGCTAAAAATCTGCTATTTATCAATTTTATCTATGGGGCGGTACTAATGGATATTTTTGGTCGTTATTGAAAATTTTGTCGATTGCTGATTTTATATATGGGCCCAAATTAGGAGCATTTAGGCCGACATAACATCCATTTGCCCTACAGGTTTCTTCTAAGTTTAACACAGTCTTGCTGTGTGAACCAAGGTGATGAGTTTGTTAAAATTAGCTTTATAATTATAAATAAAGCACATAAATGGTTAAGGAAATAGTAAGACATTAGTTCAGGAGTGCTAAGAACACATAGAATTAAAAACCACGGTAGAATTATTTTAAAAAAATTGACAAACTCCTTGAATCCCTTTCTCATTTTACAGATGGTATAATAAATTTGACAGATCGATGTCCTTCTATACCACTTGAAATCACTGAAATGGGGTCGATTTTTGATGATCGAGTTCCATATATGTTATGTGATAAGGTGCTATGTAGATATAGAAAATTCTAAGAGTTCCTATGAGAATTCTAAGGAAATTCTGAAAATATTCCAAAGAGCAGAATTGTGAATAAAATTCAAGAGATTTTGATATGAGCTCTGAAAGAATTCTAATGGCAGTTCTTAGGAAATTAAATTCCAACAACATGTTCAAAGGCATTCTGAAGATAATTTCAATAAACTTCTGCGAATATTCCACAAAAAAAAGATTTGTTGTTTTGGTTTAGAAAGGCATACAGGGAGATTTTGAAGAAGATTGAAATCGTACTAGCAGTTGACATACTGAAGAGCTTATATTCCCCCTTATTCTGCGTCACGAGTGAAGTGAGGTGAGGCGAGTCGCTGTCACTAGTGAAGTGACAATAGTCACCGCAAGTGAGGTGACTCTCCTTTTGATTTGCACGTGACTTTTGTCACCTCACTAGTGACAGCGAGTCACCTCACCTCATTCGAGGCGCAGAATAAGGGGGAATCGATACCTCGGGTGAGATGAATCTCCATTTCCATTTGATTTGCATGAAGACTCACCACACCTGAGGTGACAATTGTCACATCACCATCAGTTCACTGTTACCTGACCTCACACGCCGCGCAGAATAGACCTAACTATGTATCCTAGCAAGTCTAAGATAAACCTTCGTTCAAGCAACAACGAGTTTCGAGTTTCGGGTCTAGACCCAGCTAGCAGCTCACGGTGTCCGGGAGATTTTTCGATCGATGGACCAGCGGAAACGGTGAAATCAAGAAGGCCTTCAAGCAAAATGACGACAAGGCGAAGGCATTGTTGGTCACTTTTGTCGCGGATAGCCACTTGGAATATGTCCGGGACAAGCAGACAGCAAAGGCCATGTGGGAGTCCCTGTCTAATATATTTGGCGATCCCTGGCGTTGCTGCGGATGGACTCTAACGGAACATTTTCAGTGTTTTGACGTGCTGAAGGATACCGGGGCATCGATGACAGAACTCGATCAAGTGAGTCAACTTTTCATTTCGGTGCTGGGGTCCTACGATGTTGTCACAACGATGATGGAAAATTTAGCAGAAGATCAGATAAAGTTGGACGTAGTAAAGGCTCGTCTACTGGCAGAGGAACGGAAGCGGATAGGAAGGAGTTTTGAAACCAGCGGCAGACAGGAGAACATGCTCTTGACTACCAAATCAAGGAAAGAGTTTGGAGGAAGACCGAAGTTTCCGGGTAAATGTTTCGGATGCGGTACATTTGGGCACAAGCAAGCATTGATCGGGAAGTGACCCTGGTTAGTCCGTGTGCAGCAAGAAAATCAGAAAACTTCAAGATGGAGTGGATCCTTGACTCCGGAGCAAGCAGACAAACTCTCCCAGGCTTGGCTCTAACTGTGATGCATGAAAATCTGTTCTAGATGTCCATGAACGTTGAAAACGAGTGCTTCATTCCCAAGTAACAATTTTGGTTTTATGAGGGTTCTGTAGACCACGATTCAGACTTGTAGAATGCTATAAAACCTCTATAAAAGTAGCAATGCTACTTGGGTTGACAACCCACGTGGACGACACTGATGAGATGGATTTGTGGCATCGGTGGTATGTGCACTTGGGCTATCGTAACATTTTAAAGCTGCAGCAGTTGAAGATGGTCGATGGAATGAACCTCGGTGTCAAGACTGAAGAAAATTTCTGTGAAAAATGCGTGGAAAGCAAATTGGTACGTTTACCTTTTAACGGCTCAAGAACTGCCACGACAAGACCGTTGTAGACGGTACAGACGGACTTCTGTGAAAAAATCACGCCTGTCACGCACGATGGGTTCCAGTATTTTGTATCGTTCGTGGATGATCACACCCATTTCGCCATTGTATATCTGATGAAGACGAAGAATCAGCTGTTTGTGAGTACTTCAAGATATATGAAGCAATGAAAATCGCAAAATTCTCAGTCAAAGTGAAGAAAATACGTTGCGATTTGGGACGTGAGTATTTCAGCAATCAACAGCTGTTGTACTATGAGCAACGTGGGATTCATGTCGAGTCGACGGTTGCCTGTACACTAGACTGGTGCAAAATTTGACTTTTTCGCTCCACAGTGCTTAAATGGTTTCAAATCGGGTCCTGATAAGACTCCCAAAGTTACAACTCATTTGGTTAGAAACAGACTTCGCACAAGCCATTTGAAGTTCACATGTAAATTACTATGGGAAATCTCAACTTTTTGTTCATTGCCTTCTAGTCTTTTTCCATATTGAGCTGCGAAACAGTTCAATAACCATTGTTATAGAAAATTTTCTCAGCTACAACTTTGCTGAAGATCATTTCTATGTAAAACGAGACAGGAAAAAGTTATTAATTATTTAAGAAATTGGTAAACTTATGACATGATCAAGCAGCTGCTCTGTAGACAACACTGTATTTTGCTGTGTGACATAGTAGCCATGATTTTTGTGTCCTATTTAACGCCCCAGAAACACCAATGTTGCCTGCTGAGCAGTTGATTGAGCATGATCATAAGACATCAGCGCATTGAACCATTGATAACCTTCGATCCTTGCATTTAATCAAAAAGTGGTCCTGAGCAAAGTTGTAGCTGGGAAAATTTTCTACAAGTACAGTTGAAAGCTTTTGAAGCAGACCGATATGGTGAATTATTAGATAGACATGAAAAAAAATCTTGGTTTTATCATAGTAATTCCCATACAAACTTCAAATGGTTTGTGCCATCTCAGTTTCTCACCAAATGGGTTCAAATTTTGAGAGGTTAGTCAGGATCCGATTTGGAATCGTTTAAGTATTGTGGAGCGAAAATTTTCAAATTTTGCATCACTCTACTGTACACCACAGCATAAAGGAGCAGCTGAATGGTTCAATGTGACGGAAAATATGCGAGCTCTATTGGTTCAATCAGGAACAAGTCACTGTGGAGCGAAGAGGTCCTGAATGCTGCCTATTTGGCAAATCGAAGCCCAACGGAAGCCCTGAAGAATAAAACCCCGGTGAAAATGTGGCATGGTGAGAAGCCGAAGGTCGAAAATTTAAGTGTTTTTGGATGTCTGGTGTATTCATGGATTCCGAAGCAGAAACGAAGCAAGTTAGATCCTACTGGCCAACGTTGCGTAATGCTTGGATACGCATCGTGTGGCTATCGACTTTGAAATCTGATGTCAAGAAAGCAATTCGTAGCTCGTGATGTCCGATTCGATTAAATCGACACGGAAGGTGGAAGCCACTGCTAACCGGGAGATTCCGTTAGTGATTCCTCAATTACAAGAGCAAGAGGGAGAAGTCTTCTACCGTAGTTACACCGGATGTTAATCCTGAAGTTGATCCTGATGCAGAGGCAGTTATAGCGGATAATGATCCCGAAGTTAATCCTGATGCAGACACTGAGCAATTCGCAGATGATTGCTCTTTGACCGAGGAATCCAATAATTAAGACAACCAGGAGGAAGGAGCCATTGAACTCCCACCACAACTTGAAAGGGGTAACTTTCAAAGCGGGACTACCGCAAGTAATAGTGGTCGGGAGTTCAGGAAACCAGGTTGGTTCAAAGATTTAATTTCGTCATATGGAGCATTTTCTGCTGTAGACCATTCTCCTCAGGTTGCTGTGTCCTATAAAGACATTGCTGACCATCCAAATTGAGCAAGCTGGTTCAAAGATTTCCCATAAAGACATTGCAGAGAATAACCGCATCTGGGTTTTGATGCAGCAACCTGAATCGATTGTAACCGTGCCATGCAAATGGGTATTCACGTTGAAGGCGGACGCTGATGGAAATCCAATCCGTTACAAGGCAAGGCCAATGGCGAAAGGCTGTGTGCAGCGAAAGAATTTCGGTTATGAGGAAACGTTTGCTCCAGTGGCCAAACTGAACACAATCCGAACAGTTCTGGCTATTGCAAACACCAAAGGACTGGAATTCCATCAAATGGACATCCTTACAGCCTTTCTGAACGGAAAATGGAGTTATAGCCAAGCCTGGTAGAGTTGGTCTGCTGAAGCGATCATTGTATGGATTAAAACAGTCTCCAAGATGTTGAAACACAAGATTCAATGAGTTTCTGCAAGGTCAAGGTTTCATCCGATCGCGGTACGGAGATGCAACAGTGTATATTGTTGTTTACGTAGATAATCTGTTGATCGTAGCTCGGAGCATACAAGCGATATTGGGTATCAAGGGAACGTTGAAACAAGAATTTGACATGGGTGGCATGAACGAGCTGCGCGACTTCCTGGGAATCAAGATTCTACGAGATCGTGAACAAGGAATCATGAAGCTTTCGCAGACGGGATTGGTCGAGAAGATTCTAGACCGTTTTGGGATGAGCGACTGCAAACCATCACAAACTCCTGCTGAAACCAGGTTGCAGTTGAAACGAAGCAGTGAGCGGTGCGAGCATCCTTATCGTGAACTTATTGGATGCCTAGTGTACCTGATGATGGATACCCGACCGGATTTGTGCTTCATAGTCGGGTAACTTCCGAGATTTCAAGACACTGAAAGTCTAGAGCACTAGCAACACGCTCAGATAGTACTAGGCATTTTGAGTTGGTTTACCATTGCAGCCCGAAAAACGCCCCTGTTGTTGGTTTTGTGGATGCCGACTTCGCGAATGACGAGGAGGATCGGAAGTGTGTTTCAGAATTCCTACTGACAGTCTTCGGCTGTCATCTACTGAAGCTCAATATAACGCAGCTGCTGCATCAGTGAATCCATATGGCTCAGTGGATAAATGGGTGATCTGGCGCAAATCAAGCTGTTGTATCCTGTTCCAATATTCGAGGATAAACAAGGTGCCATAGCGATCGCACAGAAGGAAGAGACGAAGAGGGCAAAGCACATAGATGCATCCGTGATGCTGTAGATGCGGGTCGAATCCAGTTGGACTACGTTCCGACGCAACAACAAGAAGCGGACGTGCTGACAAAATGTTTGGCAGCTCCATCGTTCCTGAATCTACGCATCGGCTCCATCCAGACGATCATTTCGGTAAATGAAATAATTTGCGTTCTTTTTAACCTTATGGTCAGGTTTAAGGAACGTTTCAGTTATAACGGCGATATGCACACTATGAAGATATCGAGCATTCCAATTTAAAATATTTCATGATTTAAAATCCATTACTGAGCTTCAAAGACATGGCGACATTTTTCACAAATGTAACTCCAGTTTGAATAGCATCAAACATGGAGTTAGTTTTCAGCATATCAGTAATCAAGTCGATCAATGATTTATGTAAAAATTCAATTTTAGGAGCAGTAATGCTACCTAAGTTAAAATCATCAAAATTTCCGTTTGAATTATGATGTCTAGAATTTTGAATGTTCTACCAGCTGTAATAACAGCAAGGTAGCTCCAGTTACTTGCTGAACATTGTAAGCAGTATGCATAGATGAAGAATTTGAAGCAAGGGAGCTGTTTGTACCAAGGGGTACGAATGTAGAATTTGTTCCTCGCTGACCGTTGTTAACAGTAGAGAAATTAGTACCTAGTCGGGAACGTGGATCGTTTCCTACCTGTCGCTTAGAACGAGATTGTAGGATCGCTTTGCGAGTCTTACATTCCCAAAAAAATGGATTTGGGATTTTCACCACAATTTGAACATTTAAATTTCTTAAGATCTTCCTTCACAGGATAGTCGTCCTTTGCGTGAGAGGAATCACCACAATTCATGCTAAATACAATTTGCATGCAGCAATTTATTGCTCCGTGACCCCATCCCAGGCACTTACGCACTGGGAGAGGTTTTGAAGATTTCCTCCAGTCTTCCTGAATTGTTCCTTTGAGGTTATTTAGTTTACCAGACTTGAAGTGAACTTAATAAAAACAATTAGAAATCCCGCTGCGCGAATCGCCAGGACGGGGTATCATTTTCATTTTGATTACTTGGAGTGGCTCAACTCCAAGTAATTCAGTCAATTCATCTTTGATCTAATCAAGGGATTCACCACTGGGCAGACCTTTCAAGACAACTTTGAACAGACGTTCAGTTTTGGTGTCGTAAGTGAAAAATGTGTGCTTCTTCTCAGTAAGATACTGGAGAAGACGTTTGAAATACACAACATTCACCCCGACGGCCAATTTGAAGTGAAAACTTGAACATAACGATGTTCAACAGTTCCGTGCGAAGAGCATGGAAATCGGAAGTGGTTATCACAATAGGGAGAACCTTTTCCATCGTGGCATTAAGCCGGGAAAGTTTAGTGGAATTTTGCCTGGATGATGGATCATTCTCATTATCCGTGAGCAAATCAAATTGATTGCTCAAATAAATTTCATCAGAAGGGGGATCACGAGATTGCCCGTTTCTATTGCGTTTAGGCGCCATGGCGGCAGTAAAATGTTTCGCTCAAATGACTTTCAAGCAGATTACTATGAGAATCTGAAGGATCGAAGAGGAATTTTCCAAGGCGATGTCCAAACAGGATTACCTCGGATAGGGTCCAAACAAGGATGGAAGAGGAATATTAGTTGAAAAAGGTAGAAAATTTGCAGGTAATTTTGAGCGCTGAAAAGGGCTGTTTAAGTTTATTGTAGCTTTAGGTAGCAGTAACGCTTCCTTCAGAAAAAAAATCAAATAGAGCCGCGCTGCAAGTGAGCACGATGTTATTCGGCCCAGTTCCTTTAACTTTAAATATAAGACGGTAATAATGTATAACAAAAATGATAACTCGGCTCTGTAAAGTTTATTCGATTGAGCCTGTACAAATAATTTTTAAATTAATTATTTAAAAAAATGTGAGCACGATGCGAATTGATTTCGGAATGATTTGCCCCTTTCTATTTCGAAATCTGGTTACGGTCTTGCCATTCCTAGGATGTATGACTGTCTTTCTAGTCACACCTTATTTCGTGTCTAAAGTCAAGGTGATAAAAGCTATGAATTACGTAGACGTTATTTAATCCTCCACTTACCTAGCTCCTAATATGTCAACGCAGTTAATAGACTGCCTTTTTTTCTTACAATGTTAATTTAATTAGGCAAAAAATAAACATGTAAATGTACAAGACCACATCGCTTGACGAAATAAATCTGAATATTAATCTGATTTCAAATATTTTGAATTCTGGAACATCTACTGGTAAATCTTCCCTCAAAAATCCCTTCTCCCCCACGTGAATCAAAGTGGAAGCAAACCGTCGGATAATGACACTCATTTTAATTTGCCTTCTCTTGGCTACCTAATTATGTGGAAGAGCCTCCATTCGTTCCTTTGAGAGTTCTGGTAGAGCCACCATCATCCACCAACCGCAACGTTTTGCGTTCTACCTGTTAGTGCAACTCTCTCCTGAAAACTACCCCAATGTAGGAGTGCAGCAGCAATACACTCCGCACCACTCGGTCCCCATCATTCTCCGGCGGCAACCAGGTATTCTGTATGTGTGAGTAAATGCTTATTTCAGTGGCGCACATGCACATCGTCCCCGGCAACCGAGATTCTGATTCTTGCTGCATTCTCTGAGCTGCTGCGCAAACTCCTCCAGTCACGTAAACACTGGGCTGTATTTCTCTTGCCATCTATTATTATTACGATACTTTTGCCCATTTTTCAAGGCGCATCATTATCATAATCAACGGCGTTTTCCATTTTTTGTTATTACTTTATGCAACAAAAAGGAACAGTGCTTTATTACACACACACACACAACAAGTTGCAACAGAGTTTTGCACGAAGCTTCCTTTGTGACTTCATTGTTATACATTCTCTGTTTTTTTTTTGTTAAATACAAATACTTATTCTTGAGAGGAAAGCAACTCCGTCAGGAAGTTAAGATGTTTTCCTCCATCCTTTAATGCGTTTCTGTCAATTTAAAAATATCAAAAAAATCATATTGTTCGTTTTGTGTGCATCCTCGGAACAGTCATCGAACACATAAACTGCTATAAAGCAACAGAAAAAAAGCTCTTTCCAAGGAGTAAGAGTCCTTGTGCACATCCACGCAGCAGTTTGAAGATTGCGATTAAATCATTTCTTTGTTGTTGCACCGTTCACCGCCCACCCCCACCGCCCCGCCCTCAACTTCGGATCGGGTGGCGCTTCTTCAATATGTATGACGACAAAGCATCGAACATGACCTTTCCCTTTCGGTTTTGCATTCTCCGACGTGGGGACGCAGCAGTCAGTGGATTCAGGCACACATACACCTCCGCGAAGGACACACGTACACTAACAACCCACGGAAAGAGACGAATGATGGTTTTTTTTTGCATTTTAGATAAAGAAAAATTGAGGAAAAGTTATTGATTATGTTTATGGCCCCCGCCGGACGGTCGGTCGGTTAGACAACGAAAACCTCACTCTATCGGAGGTGTAGCCTACCTAGCTGCTGGCTGGTGCAACAATGGATCGTTGTGTTTCGCCGGGGAAACAAATGGAAGTGGAAAAAGAAAGAAGGACGAAATGTGGGGTAAAAGTTTTCCCATTTGGCCAAACTGAGCGATCGTGTTCAACGGAGGAGCTATGTACATATCTGTTAATGTTTGTTCGTTCAGTCGTCGGTGGGTCAATGGTATCCTGCAGCACGGTGGAGGCAGGATGTGGGCCGTCTGCTGTGGGTGCAGAATGGATCAATTGGGGAAATTAAACAAAGTTGCACGATTTCCCGTTCTGCCAGGGAGGTGGGAATTGAACGACTTTGTTGCCTAATTAAGCAGCCCGGGGATGGTTGGGTGCATGGGAGGTTTTTTTTTCAAAAAGACGTTTCGATGATTGATTGATTGATTGTTTGTTAAAAAATGGGAAACTTTTTCGATGAAAATTTATGCAATGAGATCAATCAATATGTAAACAAGGCTCTTTGTTAGTAGATTACTCATCGAAAATAAGATAGCTAACATTTCATTTTTCTCTTTCTTTCAGGTATGTACGACATCTGACTCTGACAATTGAATTGATTTTCTTTCGCGTAAGTTTACCTTGAATGCTGGAGTTGACGGTGTATTTTCTAATGCCCAGAAAGATCCTGATAATTATTTTTCTTGATAAATTATTCTACTTAAAACAGTTAGCGGAACATTTAAAATAAAAAAGGGCAAAAGCTTCATTCATTCTAATATTTACGTGCATAGAAATAGAGCAGCCCAAGTAGCTCTGGGGAGTCGATTGCACCGACCAGCTACCCAAGTAACAATTTAACAGCTTTTGGCTTTCACTCTGATTTATTGTGGTTTTATAACGGCAATAAGCAATCTTTTTTAGTTTAAATACAGCATTAAACAGTGCAAAAAATTCTTCACTAGTAGTTCAGTTTTATGCTGCTTTAAAAACCTTGTAAAGTCTGACGAGAAAATCAGAAAGAGTCTGGTTTTAAAAACGAATTTAAAGCAGCACTCTATCCCTTTATAAAACTATTGAGTAAATCAATTGGTATTTGTTTAAGTGATGTCACGACAAAATTCTCCATATTGGTGTTTTATCATTATAAAAACAATGTTGAAGCCGTTCGGTTTCAAACGGGATCAAAAAGCATATATTGATGCGTTTTGGTGTCAATGAAGTGTATCACAAAAGCTTCCACTGTTAACAAATAAAACAAAAAAGATGGATTCGCCTAGAGACAGAGGAAAACATAGTCGGGTGGGGTATTCAAACACAGTCACAAGGAAATGCCAAAGGATAATCGAGTAATAATTCTAGCAATGCTGTCGACGGAAGAGAAAAGGAATCCAATTCCAGAACTTTCTGGGAGGGCAGCTCCGACAAAATCGGTCAACAACAACAGAGCAGCCGACTGAGAGGAGCGAACCCAAGTAACATTGCTAGTTTTATCGTGGTTTTAAAGCATTCTACAAGTCTAAATCATGGTCTACAGAACTCTCATAAAACCATAATTGTAACTCGGGAAGTGAATGCGATTTACGAAGCACTGGAAGCCGTCAAATTAGACGCTTAACATTGATGGGAATACACAGCATATTGTCAATGGCAGCATCCTCCAGTAATTACGTTGCGATGATGATCCAAATAGCATCAGTGCCAACCTGGGACTGCGGAAAACTGCTGACAAGAAACTCATCCGGAAGAAGGAATTTTTTTTGGAAACGATTGAGCTTCCACCTGTTCTAAGTTACGTAGACTCACTTCCTGAGTAACTGCTTCCAATAGATGAATTTCCCTTATCAAGGATGTCACACAACTAGTTGATCCAACGCTGGAGTAGATCATCGTTGCAATGATCGTACAACAAAACTATCGAAAGATAAACAAATTTTGACGTTTAACTTTTTCCACGCAACTTTGCCGCCATTTATGTCGTCATAGAACTAAACGGAATAGGATCAAGCAAAATGGCTTCAGTTAAAAACAATTCAGTCTGCAAATTACATAAATGTAAATTTAGGTGCTCTGAGACTGACATATAAGATCGTCAATTTTAACATACAATTGAGTCATAATAGACGTTAAATTCAGCATAATCAAACGTACTTTCGTACTTTTCAGTCTCGGAGCACAAACATGACATGTTTGTTTGTCATGAATTGATCAATGAGCCGTAATAGAAATTACAAAAATCATCAAATTTTCTCGGCTGTGAGCAATGATTAACAAAACATATAACTATATTTCGTGTCCTAAATTAAAAATAATTAGTCAAATCAGCGTTGTCCGAAGGCGGGCTTATTTTTTTTTGACGTTGGATAACGTCTTTCGGCAACATACGGGGGTACAAAATTGAAAACAGTCAGTTTGGATGCGTTACGAAAAATTAAAAGATTTTGAACGATAATAACTCAACCGTCTCTAGATAGATTTACGAGATAATGGCATCAATCGATTGGAAATATTTCTAGCAATTTGCTGAATGTCATCAGGGCCACCAAACTTTCGCAAAAGAGTTATTAAGGAATATTCCTAAAATACAATATACACAATTAAGTACAACACATAACAAACGTTATCCAACGCCAACCCTGCGGTCGTATCTAGTATACAACCCTTCCAACTTTTTCGATTTTCCTAAGCACATTTCACATTAGATTTAATTTGTCACCTAAAAATAGACCATAATATGAGTTTCGATAATTTTAGTAATTCTTTAACTTTAATGATGATGAAATTTATGAGGATTTTTGAACAATGACTTTGGCAAGATCGGACGATATTTATGTAGGGTAGATGTACCAGTTATGGCTATAAGTTCCTATTATGGTGTGTTCCAATCATGGCCTATGGAAATCCCATGTGCCATTATTGGAACACACCATAATAGGAACGTATATCCATAACTGGTACATCTACCCTATTCCTTTTTATCTTGATTTATGCTTTATTTTTAGTGCACTTAGCAAGCATCAAACGAAAATGCCACAAATATTGGTGCTAAATGGCTTTTATTGTACTTTTAATAAGGATTTCAAATGGTTCTCAATGCATTCGTTATATAACCTTTTTGCAGCAAGTCATTCTTGAAATGTCTCGATAATGCACTCTTTAGAACCTTCTTCAGGGTGGGCCAACTAGACAGATTCTAGTCTTAATGAGGTTCTGGTGGATGCAATCAAGGTAAAGCTATCTTGACCAGGGGTTTATGAATGTTGTTTTATAGAAGCCTTGAAGAAGTACTTCATAAAACGTTAAATGTTACTTGGGTGAGCTGCATGTTAGTTTTGTTCAAGACGTCATTGTAAAGCAGTTTGAAGGTCATTGCGCATTCAAGAGTAGTGCTTCCTACTCACAACATCCCGGGAAACCATTCTCAGGAAATGTATGTATGTATGTATGTATGTATGTAAGGTAGCCACCATCCCTTCAAAGATCTTGTATGCAGCTCCACTTAATAGCAAGATCAATTTGAGCTACTGATCTGAATTCACAATATCGCTGTATGCAGGGCAAAAAACGGAGGGGTGGACCCGTAAGTAGAGCCACTTACGAGAAATCCACGGAAATTTAAGAATCTCCTTCCAACATCCAACAAATCGAATAACGCAATTCGCAATACTTATTAAGCTCGGGAAGCCATTCTCAGGGAATTTACCGAAAATCACGTTTCCTGATTCCTGGGAATCATCTAATTTTCCGAAAAGACAAATGTTCCTGCTCAGAAATTAGCTTCCCTTTAGATCCCTGGTCTTTTTTTAAATTCCTGATATATTTGTGAAGTTTTCTAAAATTCTCAACTCACCCTTAGATGTCTTTAAAGCACCCCAAAAGTATGCGCTTTTTTAATTTTTGAAACATCTATGAAGCTATTGGAACTGCTCTACAGATCTGTAAGATCTGTTCCTGAACTGGAACTTGTTGTTTAATGTTCCCACAATTTTCCTCAAGTTCTCTGGACTTCTGTGAAGGTGTCTTATCTGAAATTAATAAAACCTCCGACTGCATCATTCCAGCTCAAGTGTCTACAAAGTTGTGGTCCATTCAACCGATGTCAACCAAACTGCAAAAATGCGGATTGATATTCTAAGAAAACACTTTTTTTATATTTTTGATCTTATGTGCTTGGTTCGCTCTGGACTACAACTACAACCACCTATTTACTAAATGTGATATGAGAAGAAGATCTGTATGTTGATGGCTTCCATCAAAGCGAGTGTCACGTCAACACATTCCTACCCATTCCTTTTTTGACCTGCGTTCGGGCGCGGCCGGCGCTGGTGTTACCTAGTTTGAGATCACCAGTTTTTACACATTGAGGATGATTGCTAGTCCCAAGCATCGTCTATTGGTTCTTTGTGTAATTACAGCTGATCTGGCAATAACAGAGTAGCAACCGTGGGCGGTCAATCATGCTCATGCTCATGCTCTGAGAAGAAAATCTGTATGTTAATTAAACTTCTCTGAAATTCTCGGAATTTACTTCAATCCCCATAACTTATATATGTCTCCAACAAATTTCGCAGAATTAATGGAACTGCTCTACAAACTTCCCTGATGTTTTTGGAACCTCGCATAAGTTTTCGAAATTCCCCTGATGATTTTTTTGAAACTGCCCTGAAATGAATAAATTTTTACTGAAGATCCGTGATGTTCTCTGGACGCTGGTTCATAAATTTATTATTTAGTGATATATCGTGTTTTGCCTGTGTAAGCATCAGAAGATTTGGCGCTATCTGCGTTGTTTGATTTGTTTAATTTTAGTTTATGATGTTGGTGCGCTCGCAACAATTTTTGAGAAAAAAATTGAAGTGTTTTCTATCGAAAGTGTACCAAACGTGCTTTTGAACGTGTTTTGCAGTTCAGTGTGGTGAAATTCGTGCATTCCCGGTTGATTTTCAGTAGAAATTCCGTCTCCTTTCCCACCGATTCCTTTTTTTGCCATTCGTCGGCGACGGGTGTGCTTTCGCGTGAGTGACGTTTATTGGATCCGTTTCTTTGAACGGCTGTGTTTTTTTGTAACCAGCGGTGTAAGTTTGCCTGCGAATTGCCTTGCCTCCTGGGAGTCCGGTTCACCGTGTTCGGATGTCACGCTTTCATAGTGTAGTTCTACCGAGAGTCTGCAGAGACGATAGTTTTTGTTTAACTGCAGAAGGATATAAATCGTTCTCTAATCTATGGGAGCCCGTCGAAATCGCCGTGAAATCATGGATTCCTTTGCAACGTATCGGGTTAGATCTTTCCTTTATTGTTCTCTTAACATTCATTCCATTATTATATGACAGCGGCGCCGGTGGTGTAGTGGTAAGCGTGATTACCTCTCACCCCACCAGGCCTGGGTTCAATCCCAGTCGGCGCCGCCGGGATGTTCTGAGGCATAACATCTCTGATCACGCCTTCCTTCGGAAGGGAAGTAAAGCCGTTGGTCCCCGGTTCATGAGTTGATGGGTCGATAGGTAGGGTCCAGGTGTGGGAGCTGCCTCTCTGGCGTCGGTAGCATTGGTGCTCAGCACGGAAAACAAGATCGACGGAAAACAAATCAAAGGAAAAAAAAGAAAAAAATTATTATATGACACATTATATTCTGGGTATGGGGCGGTCCACCAGGGCACCCGATTGAAGCAAAATGGATAGGGAGAGTGGAATTGCCAATTTCCTGTCGTTAACAGATCGTGAATTGAAGGCGGACTCTTCTTCCCCACTCATTGGGACATCCCCTAGTGCGATGGCTTGTACATTACCGGGTTTTAGGATTTTATTGTTGTTAGGAGATTCTCTTTGATCCCGCGGACTAAGCGTAAGTGCTTACAGGTTCGCCCTCCGTTTTTGGCCCTTCATACAATGGTAAATTGCACACAATCAGGTGTTGTACTTGATCAAGTCGTACGAGGTGGACAGTCCACTATCTAATAGTTGTGCCTGCAACAATGAGTGGTTTCCTTTACATACATACATACATACATACATACATATCGTGTTTTGCCTGTGTTTGCCTTGAGTGACTCGGTTAACCTTGAATCTAACCTCCAAAATCTATGACGTAGCTTAAGTTCCATTGTTCGGTGTCGCTTTTCATTGCCTCCCGGGAACCCGGTTCTCCAAGTTCGGATGCCACACTTTTGGCGTGTTGTTCTATTGAGAAATTCGTCACCGAAGACGAGTTTGAAACCGGTCTGGTTGGCGAATTCGCCCGAGAACGTGCTGATAATGTGTCCGTCGCGAGTTTTGGTGATGATTCGGTGGCCGACGTGGCCGTGAATCAGCAAGTTTTCCGCTTGCAAAAGTGCTCGGCTGGAGATCTCTCGCCGGTGTCAGAGATTGCGAGCAATCTGATGCCTCGCTGCATACGTTCAAGCTGGGGAAAGCACTAGACGCGAACCTCCTCCCAGATGACCATGGCAATGCAAGAAAACTTGTGTTCGTTGAAGGAAGTATAAACTTCTCTGACGGTAGTGAAATGCACAAGTATTGGTGCTGAACTCTGGGTAAATTATAAGTATTAGTGCAAGAAACCCTTTGAATTTACCCAAAGTTCTGCACTAGTACTTGTGAAGTTCACAAACGTCAGAAGAGTCTATTACGACAATGGTGCATCACCGACAAACCGACATGAAACTTAAACTTAACTGTTGATCGAGAATCCATAACGGCCGATTTAAATGTGCAGCGATCCCGTCTGTCAAAACCATGGAAATATTTTATCTAGATAAAAATAATTTGCCCGAAATAGATTATACACGAACCAACTCAAATTTTGTACGCGTGTTCGTGGCTAGGATAAATATGTTCCGCAAACACGGCGGCAGATGTCAGTTTTGTGCTTTGAGCATAAATTTCTTTGTAATTTGTATGATCATTCATGCTGGTTTGTCGGTGAGTGCATCATGAAATGAGATGCACAGCTTAGAGAAAATCAATACTGCGGAACCCATGGATTGGATGATCAAATTAATATGGTGAGACCAGTCCAAATGCTTTCTACAATTAAAAAAAAACATAAACTAAATAGGGCAAATGGCAAATGTTGGCCTAAATGCCTCTAATTTGGGGCCATACATAAATTCAGCAAACGACTAAATTTTCAATAGCGACCAAAATATCCATTAGTACCGTCCCAATGACGCGTTCATCTAGATAAAATTGATAAATAGCAGATTTTTAGCGATGGGCCCAATCTTACATCCATAGGCCAACATTAGAGCCATTTCCCCTATGTGCCAGGATTCAAAAGAACATTGAAGAAACTGGAAGTGTGTGTGTGTAATACTAATATCCAATTGATAGAGGTAATACATACATGCGGGGATTATTGTAAGTGAAAGTAACCTCGGAATGGGCGTGACTCTCCAGACATTCTGAAATGGGTTGCTGAATCTGCAATAGAGCTATCACTTTCTAACTCCCGGACCAAAGCTTTCTACAATGACCATAAATTTGACACTGTAGAGAGAGTTCTTCCATAATAACACTGCCGGACAGTGAGGTGGGTGTTCCGATCTTTTTCTGAAGTTCTCTAAGCTTCCCTGGACTTCTTTAGGCTTCGCTGAAATTTTCGAAAGATGAAGATTGCAAAACTGTATCAAATTTTACATAACTTCCCTACAAATCTTTGAACTTCTCTGATTGTTTCTAGACTTCCCTAAATTTCTACGAAGTACTTGAAATTTTCCTGAACTTATTGGAACTGCCCCTACAACTCCTCCTAATTGTCAAAGGATGGCTGGACAGTTGAGGGAATTTGGAAAAGACTTCCATAGCTTAAAGGAATTTCTGAAAGTCAGAAAACACAGAAAATAATAATTCTGGGGAAGCTGGAAGGATCTTTAAGAAGAATTTAAAAAAGCCTTCCGTGAAAACTCAGATGGAACATCTAGCACAGAGAACAGACGTCCATGTTCGGTCAGAAACTTGTGTAAAGTTAAGTGGAAACGTCGCCGTTACGTAGCATCTCCTGATTTCCTCTATAAATTTATCACTTCCGACCAATTTGGCGCTAGTATCGATAAATTATCTGTTGAAAATTGTCATTTGGCGCTACCAGCACTTAGTGTCTAGTGTAAGTTTTGCAACACCAGCGCCATCATGTTGTCAAAGAGGGTTTTTAAGTGGGGAAGTCGCCGTTAGTGGCGATAAAGTCGAATACGAATCTTTACATAAGTTTTTAGAGAAATTTTGTTCGAGCCTCAACGTCTGTTCTCTGTGCTTCTTGTTGAAATTGGAAATGATTTCCCTGGGAAGTCAGAACATACTGTTGAAACGGGAAGTTTAAAGAAACTTCCGTTGAACGATGGAAGAAATCTCCGCGGAAAGTTGGATGAAACTTTAGGGGCCAGAGTAAGGTGGAAAAAACTTCAGAGTGATGTTGGAAGCAACTGCCGGAGATATCATTAGAAGCCTTCTAAAGAAGTCGGTCAAAATATTCAACGGGAAGTAGGAAAAAACTTCCAAAAGATATCGTAAAACCTTCCGGGGAAAACCGGGGGCGAATCAGGAGAAAAATTTGAAGTTCTTCCCAATCTTCAGGAATAAAACAAAATATTTAAACTTGTTGAAATATGTTTTATGCTTATTAAGTCGACCGAAGGAAGTTCTAATTCTAATGAATTACTTATGAATAGCGGTGAGACCTGGGAAGCCATAAATGGTCAGGAAACAGGATGACTACTCGAAAGAAACTTCCTGTAATATATGGAAACTGGAAGACTCCTGGAGGAGACCGGAGAAATCTTCTGGAAAATATTGGTAACATCTTCCAGCGTAAACCAGAAGGGGTTTTGGGAACAGTCAGAAGAAACTTCTAGGAAAGCCGGAAGGAAGTCAGCAGACCGATTCCGAGAAAAGTTAGAAGAAACTACCATGAAAACTATCCAGGAGAATCCAGAAAGACTTCTAGTAGCAATTACTGATGGAATTTTGAATAAACTTCCGAAATAGGTTGCAAAAATTTTCCGGGCAAAATACGAAGTCTGCTTCAAGTCTGCTAAAACGGGTCAACCTGTTTATACACCTAAAATAGAATTAACCACTGAACCCGTCACAATGTGAGTGTGAAATCCGTATGAAATTACCGAAGATAGTAGTTAGTTTTTTCGTAGCCAGCAATCTTCCAAGATGGATAGGATCTGGAGATATAGCATTTTCTTGAAGTGCCCAAGCATATTAGCGCCACATAGTGGGAGAATAATAAACTAATCTGTGCACTATTTGAAAGGTTCTGGTTATCTGAGCAAATTTGCCGACTTGATAGCAACTTGCCAACTAGTCAGAATCTCGAGAGATAGCTCATGCTAGATGTTTATATCCCCAATAGCACCGAGTAGTGGTGTGTTTTTTAACTAAAAAGTCTACTGTGTAGAAAACTTTCATTACTTGAATAATTTTGCAGAAGACAGCAATTTCCTAAACGGTCCGGATTTCGATATAAAGCATCCCAAGTAACATAGCATGTTTTATCGAGGATTTAAAGCATTCTACAAGTCTAAAATATGGTCATCAGATCCCTCATAAAAAACTGGTTTGAAACACTGCTTGAAATGGTCTAATTTCAGTCGAGAATGGTTCATAATCTGGTGTCAAGAACTGGTTTCAAATAAATACAATTAGGAACTAGTGGAAAGCAGAATTAAGACCACCAGAGTGTCAGGGTTTGGTCTGGATCTGTACCAAAAATTTGAACTGAACCAGCTTATTGGACCGCTCTAAAAATGCCCTAAACTCTCTGACATTAACTTATATGCCCTCCGAAGCCTTCCACGATTTCACTTATATCACCCGTTAAGTTATATAACCTCAAAGCAGTCAGCGAACGTCGATTAACGATTGAATGGCGGTTTCTTTCGGTTGAGTTGATATATGTTTAAGTTTTAAAGTGAGATTTTCATTGAGCTTTAGAGTTTGTTTCAATAAATACTAAATTATGAATGTTGGATGTAGGGCAGATGTTGTACCCTTATAGAAGTGATCGTGATTGTTAGCCTATGCACTGGATCCCTAATGTTCACGTCTAAAGCTTATCAAAATGATTGAATACACACGGCGTCATACATTTCCGTTCTGGAATGCCATCCAAACTCTAAATATCCTCACTCATCGAGTGCATTGAACTGCATCCAAACCGCAAATCACTCCGGTTTGGCAAGGCAAATATAGCGTATCTTACGACGAGTGCAATTTATTACAACATTCGAGGATTCCCACACAGACAGACTCTCACACACATCCACACTGACACCTCGTCACGTCCCTTCCAGTGATGCCACAAATATATAGAATTGCATTAATCTGCATCTGACAACAAATGGGATGCTACTGCTGCTGGCAAGACCGGTTGTTGGTAATCACTTTCATTAGTTGGTTCACACCTCATCAGTTTCGGATTCATGCATCCATGGAGAATACCGTACCTACCCACATACCGGCTTAGCTCGGCAGCGTGTGCGTATTGGTAGCTCAGAATGCAGTCATTCGTATTCCAGTCAGTATTCGGCAGAGCTTGAACCAGATGCGGTTTGAGGTGGGGGCATTGCACTCTGAAAAACATTTTTCGCTTTGCTTATCTCGGGGCAAATTCGCTAAAATAATGCGACGTCATAGCGAGTGTGTCGTCAAAAGAAGTGTCTTTCATCATGGAAATTCAGCCGTGAGGCTCTGCTTCTTGTGTTTGGGACGCTGAAGTGGTTGCTCCTTGGTACCTCCAAAAGCTTCTCGAGAGCAATTCAAACATTGCGAAATTTCAAAACTCTCTTGAGTCACCCAATTTCCGTTCCTGGACAACTATCTCCGTTCAGAGGCCCATCGCAGGCCTTCGTGTTTACTTTTTTGATCAGTTAAAATAAACATGCATTACATTGCACACCAACTCTCCCTCTCTCTCTCTACGCTTTGTGTCTGTATGTTTGCTGGGATACCGTGCGTCGTCGTCGACCGGCTGCAATATGCTGTTGCCGTAGGTCATGAACAGGGAAGCCGGCATGTGCTGCGATGGTGTTCTGTGCGCGAGTTGTTTGTTGTGAGAGCCACCCAACTTCGATGAGCGCGTGATTCCCTGCTTGCTGTTTGTTGCAATGGACAGACGAACCCACTGAGCTGCAAATGATGTCCCGCCAGGAAAACGAGAGAGAGAGAGAGAGAGAGAGAGTGGGATGACATGTGAGCGAGAATGCGAGAAAATGGGAAAGCACAAGAGTCCCATCGACGGCCAACCAAATATGAGTGCCCCCAACCGTGTTCCGCGTCTTTTGGCGACCGTGAAGACTGAATGTGGTTGCGAAGGGCGGAGGACGGAGGACCACGACGACGACGACGACGGTGTGTTGTGTATTGAATAATCTTTTATGAGACCGTACTGCCCGAAAGCGAGGACATTGAACCC